CTGCTTAAAATCATTTGAATCACGTTATGCCGCTAGTCCGGGTGAGATTCCACCTCCGCGGAAATATCATTCCATATTTGTTCGTATTCTATCATATCAGAGAAACGGTCAACTAATGAGACTTCCGTAGAGGCGGTGTACAAACCCCGCCCACATGGTTAGCGCGCTATGCAGTTTTCAGAGTTCTCAGCGTTTCTTCTTTTTTCTCTTTCAATTCGGGTGAAGCAATCACCTCGACTGGGTTTGGGTTTGGGATATTTTTGGACGTAACCAACGCTACCTATCCAATTGCAGAATGTGCCTTTAAGAACCAAATAAAGCTATGATAGGGCTTGTAATAATTCTGTGTGCTTTTTAGGTGGATCCACCAACAGTAACACCTCTACCCAAATGTGAGAACGCATCATGTTGCGTGATTGGAGGGGTTTGGACAGAATGGTCCAGCGGAGGTGCTTGTTCAGACACTTGTGGAAACTGCGGTACAACAACACGCACAAGAGGCTGCGTATCGGAGCAGTTCGGATGTCCTTGCTCGTACGTGACACGCCATTACATCAGATGTTACTCTATTTGATCTAACTTCAGTACCAGCTGTGTTTCAGAGGTCCTAGCACGAAACAGTCTGAATGTGCATCAAGCCCGTGCATCTTCCCTCGTGCTTCGTGCTGTGCTAATCGTACGGTTGAACTAGCCCCTGATCAACATTGGCAGTGTTCCAGAAAAGTAAGAAATAGCGGTTTTCTTGTCTTGGGATGATTATCGTGCTCCACATGGCTGAGCTGAACCAAGATCTTTGATAAATTGAGGCCTGAGGCTATTCGGAGCAGTTCCATAGAAAATCTCGCTCTGCATGGCGAGCCAGCACAGGTCTTTCTGAGCTGCCACTTCTTGAAAATAGTGTATTTATAGGATGACACCAGTCCACCACCGTCAGACACATGCTGGACCTGTTGTCCGAGCTCTGGAGGCTATTGGTCCGAATGGACTGAGGGAGGAGCATGTGGTGATACCTGCGGTTCATGCGCTCAAGTTACACAATCACGAGTCTGTCTTACGGAGCAACATAACTGCACTTGCAGGTAATAGAGCGAAAATCTATGAAACCCTGAGGAAAGTGCTCTACACATGTGTAGGTCAGAAGTTCTCCCCAGTCTGAGCGCATCATTGAAAGCGCTCTTTACTTATGGAATGACCCAATCGGCCTGCCATTGTTATCTCCTGACCTATACCTATTGATCAACATGTTTGTATGTGTCGCTAGTAGTTATCGCCAAGAATTTCTCAATAAA